CCTGACCTAAGAGATTCTATACATTTAATCTGTTCTAAGAGACAGACCAGTGACCCAAAGTGCAACATAGAAAACAAGGTAGCATCCTAAGGAAAAAAATTTCCCACCACATCTATATATATATATAAGTGACTCACACATCATCATGAAATCTCCAGAACCGTAAAGCCTACAAACTTGAAATTTGGCACGTATGTTCCTCTTGGCTTCTAGGTGCTCACTAAGAAAGGATTTTTCAAAATGACCACCAGAGCATTAGTATTTCCTATATTATTATTAACATGCTCTGATGCTAAGGAATTCTACTCTCCCTCCCCCAGTGGTGGGATTCAATTTTTTTACTACCGGTTCTATGGGCGTGGCAGGGGAAGTATACTGTAAAATCTCCAGTCAGAGGTGGTATTTGCTGGTTCTCTGAACTACTCAAAATTTCCGCTACTGGTTCTCCAGAACTGGTCAGAACCTGCTGAATACCACCTCTGCCCTCCCCACCTGAAAATAAATCTGTTCCAAATGCAAAACACAAGCAGAGGAGAGGAGTTTCAGTTTCAGTTTCACAACACCAAGCAGTTTTAATACAGAACAGTTGAGCTTAAGCCACACCCAGGCTCCTTGGTGTCTCCTTCTTGCTCACATAGCAAATACTGTTTCAGTTTCCAAGCAACCCTCAACTCTCTCACACACTGACAGGATGCTAACCAGATGAATACCGATGGATACTGGTAGGCAGAGGCAGATTCCCCCCCCCCTTATTTTCGTCCCCAAAAGCCCGACCACATAGTTTCATAGTGAAGCATGGGTTTTGAGCTAGTTATTTAATATTTGAAAGTGTTCCTTATAAGTATCAATTGGGACTTCTTTAGTAGGATTTGGAAAATATATTTTTTTAGATCAGTAGCTGTGAAGCACGAACAAAGGGAGTTCTTATCTGCATCAATCTGTGGTGTCCACATATCCTTACTGGCCTTGTTGTTCTCTTCCCTAAGGAGAGATTTGTAGCATTTCATAATATTATGCACCAATAAGTGACCCCTTTTAGTGGGTTATTGCTGAAGACTTTATATACTCTCCTAAATTAATTTGTAAGCTGTCAATGTTCTTGTCTATGGGTGATGTTTAGTGAGCTAAGACACATTAGAGTACAAATAAGCCCTAGCAAATGTAAAACATTGCATCAGTTCACCAATTAATTGTTCATATAAGTTTGCGGCAGCTTGTCAAGTGCCTGTTATTCATTGTTGGTTTTCTAATAAAGACAAAGAGCCAAGCCATGTGACTAAACCCCTGCAATTTTCTCATTCCATCTAATGCATATCACAGTATTTGCATTCTCTGCACCTGGAACAAATTTTCAATCAATCAAGCACACCCTTTTGAAACTGACCAGATAATGATTTCTTCCAAAATGCAGTTCCATCACTAAACTAGACAAAAAAGCTACCCCGCCAGAAGATATCAGCCCAAAATCTCCAGCGGACTTCTTACCTCCTCCCCCAACATATTATTTTCCAATGAACCATTACGAATGCATAGGTCATGCATAAACCTGCAAAATTTCAAAACTGCATGTTCACCTCCCTTGAAAAATGGGATCCTATTGATACATCCAATGAAAAAACTACAATTATATTCAAATCTCACCAGGCTCAAGGTTGACTCAGCCTTCTATCCTTCTGAGGTGGGTAAAATGAGACCCAGATTGTTGGGGGCAATAGGCTGACTCTGTAAAACCGCTTAGAGAGGGCTGTAAAGTGGTATATAAGTCTAAGTGCTATTGCTATATTGGTGAACAGGGAGAAAACTATTTAGGCAAAACAGGCAATCAAGTGTCTCCAATCATAAATATTCTGGAGGGATATTGGGAGCTTTCATTTGGGCCCAAGTGTGCAAGGGATGGGGAATACACAGAGTATACTAAATGTCAGGCCTCTGTTCAGTGTGGTTCCCATTTTCTTCTAAAAACTTACTCATTTGATATGTGACATTTGAACATCCCTAAGTACAGTAGCATTTTTGCTGAGAAACCCAGCTTGGTTAAGGCACCAGGCTAGAAAGCAAGAGACCATGAGTTCAAGTGCTGCCTTAGCCATGAAAGCTAACTGGATGATTTGAGCCAGTCACTCTCTCTCAGCACAATTAATTTCACAGGGTTGTTGAAAATAGGAGGAGGAAGTGTGTTGGATGTGTCCACCACCTTGAGTTATTTGTGAAAATAATAAAGGTGGGATATAAATAAATGAATGAATATTGTGATTGGTTTATGAAGCCTGATTTTTGGAATATCCTATATATTGGAAAGTGTAATTTCGATTCCATTGGTTTGTCTACCTGGAAAGCTTTTTCTCTTCTCATAACTATTCACAATATAGTCAAACAGAGTACAATTTTTAAAAGATTATGAATAGTATATGGTTTTCTATTATTTCATTTTAACATAAAAATTAAAATAAGTTCTCCAACTGTGATGCAATTTATTAAAATATTTAGATTAAATTAAATTGAAATTAAAAGTTAGAAAATTCAGGCTTCAGAAAATCTGAAAAGATATAGGAAAAGACAATTCTCTTTCATTGGTTAAATGCATTTTTGAATTATGACAGAGAAAATGGCTGTATGTTTTGGCACTGCTTGTCTCCTCATCCTTTGAACTAAATGTAACATGAAGCTCTTAAATAAAAGGAAAATGACTTGAAAACACTGTGTAGTAGTACATACATACTTTTTTGCTCTGTTGTGCATAGCTATCTGTATATATGCTATCCAGGAAAAAAAGGCACATTTGCATTGGTGTTGCAAAACTGCAGTGCATCTTTTTTTATCTCTGTTAAGTGATATAGACATAGATGAACAATAAAGCATCATATAATCAAAGCAGAGCAAATCTATTCTGGGTTTCTCCCAAGGAACCAAATTTTCATGCTGCTTCTCTTTCTGACTGGTTCTTCACATAAACCATCTATGTCAGGGAACACAAGCATCTTCCCTATAAATTTCGGAAAATTATTTAGCTTTATCAAAATACTTTGGTCTTTCCTTAACATTACAGAATAACAGAATACAGGTGAAAGGGGCTTTGGAGATCTTCTCGTCCAACCCTCCTGCTCTTGTGAAATCCTTTGGTAGGGTCAGCAATATTGGTGTGATGTCCACATTAAAACATAACTTACAACTGGTTGAGGAAAGTAAATGAAATAAATGGATTTCTATAGTTTGTTCACAGGCAGAATTTGAATTTCAGAAGGAGGATGGAAGAACAGTTGATTCTACAACTTCTCCCTAATTGCTTACCAACTGAGAATTTTTCCTTGAAATCTATCCAAAAGCTTTTGACAGATGTACATAATGAAATGTGGGAGTATATGGTGATGCATTCTTAGTTCCATGTTCTTTGCCAAAAGTAACATCTGAGTTCTCGGTAACTTTTACTTTTGTGCCTTTAACTTAATTCATAAGCAATAACTACAAAGCAGCTATGGACACTGTTGGCAATCTTTTAATGTGCCCTCCTTACAAGAAACATGAAAGTGCAATTCAAACCAACAAAGCCATGAAAGTTCCTTTAATTGGAACTGCAATATATCCTTGTAAACAGAAAGAAAGAAAATCACAAACAGAAAGTTCTTTCTTGCTCTTTTCAGACTTTTTCTTCTCCTTAATTAGATACCTTCAGGCAGCTTTCTGGTTTCTCATCCCTTATCCACTGTGGAATTAGCAGATTTGTTATCAGAATATAAAAGCTAACAGCATATGGTTTTGTTAATATCTTCATAATGTCATAACACAATCTGCCACAATGTAAATGTCTTCAAAGCAATTTCACTGGAATGGAATATGCAGTAAGAAATGGGAGAAAGAAAATAATTGCTTTTTTAAAAAAATAATTCTTTCATAATACTCACCTGCTGCATTTTATCAGCTTCTTAATATAAGCTTAGGGGCATTTCTTTTTCAGTAGCTATAAATATTGTGTACATTGATTATAACTCTCCAACAAAAACAGTTGCCTCCAGATATGAAAAAGTCACTTCCCCTTGATGTCTTTTATACCGTTCTAGATACATGTGCACTTACATTACTTAACTCTCCACAAGGATTTAAAAATTAGAAATTACTGGAAGATCAAATAAATATACTCGCTTGCATTGTTTTTAGCCCTAAAAATCTTGTACAGTTGTCTCTTTGATGTTGTAGTGAGCTGCGCTTCAAATGATCCTTTCTTTGTATGTGCCTAAGAGATACCACCAAATCATAACATCTCAACCCAGCAAAAAGTCTAATCTTGGGAGATTTTCTTTCACCCCATTTCAATTGTGGGCAGCTTTCCAAGATAAGCTGTAACCATACTGATTAATCACAGCTGCTGAACTTTTTTTTTTTTTAAAAAAAGCATATCCTGTGTCATATTAGCAATAAGAAATACCAGCTCCAGCTCTTATCAGCCATTCTGTAATGTCTGTACATGGAGAGCATTGACAGTTAGAAACCATATGGATGCCTCTCTAGAAAACATTTTTGTACTGCTATGCTTTCTCACATATAGTTTACCTGTTGCCATTGTTTTGTTCCTGTCATATGCAACCCGTTTTGCAGATGTTTTCAAATGATCAGTATCTGCAGATGTATTACACTTTGAATGACTTTTCAGGAGGCTGCACTTTGTGTGCTTAAAAATATCTTATTACTGAGTAGTTAGCATTTTGTTTATTATGACATCTATACACAGTCATGTTCTCACAAATACAAACACACAACATATATAGTAAGCAATAGTAAGTAATCCATTGATTGAACTGTATGACATGTTTTGTTCAAAATCCACAGCATTACTATCTCAACCCACTTCCTCCCTATTCAGGGCTAAAATCCCTTTTGCTCCACACTTCTGAAATATGATATGCATTCCTGGCAAAGCTACCACAGTTAATTATTTTTGCAATTTACCCTCATCATCTCCCACTACTCTCTGTCATGACCAAATTTTAAAAGTTCAGTAATCTTACCTATTTCCATGGCCCCAGTGCAAATACACAACAAAGTCCAAGCAACAGCTGAAAGAAATAAAATGCTCAGGTAGTGAGTGGATGGCTGCTGCATTTTGTTCCCAGTCTTATTTCATCCATATATCTCTTGCTAAAAATTAAGTTTTAGGAGATTTTAACTTTGGAAGAAATCAGCTTGTTTGTGTATTTTTGTTCATTTTCCTTAAATTGTTCAGTTCTGAGTTGATCCTGCTGTATTGTTAATTTAAACTTTCTAAGAAGAACTTCTTTTTCTCCTGACAATATTCAGAATTATGAGTACACGCCCTAATCAGCAAAAAGGAGAAAAATCTAGTTCACAGTCCAGCTGTGTGCAGTCCAGCTGTTCTGATTCACATATCCTTCAACACACAAATAGATACATAAAGGTGCATTTCTTATTCTTAACATTTTTTTTATTCCTTATTCAAATTTTCATTAAACATTGCCAGTGAAATTTAATTTGCTTAAAATGGACTTGTAAGTCAAGTACTAACAATCAGAAAGATAGGTAGACAGACTGATAGATAGTCCAAAGAACCCAAATGGTAAGATGTTTGATTAGACAAACCATGAAGAAATTATTTGTTCATTGCAGTTGCTACCTTGACTGTACAGTAATATTAGCATTGGTATTTAAATATTCATTTATGGATTCTAATTTTCTCCATCCATATTAATTTCAACAGCAAATCACATAAGGACATTGGGATGCCTTACTAAAATGCTGTATGGTTGTTTGATAGAAGAGGTCCTCATTACTATGAAAACAAAATGGCTTAATGCATCAGCACAGACTTATGATTTAAATAAAGTTATGTTTAATTACATTGATTGCCCTCTGGGAAGATTTTTTTAAAAAAATATGAATTGTTTTATTGCAGGAAAAATTGCAGTGCATTCTCAGAATATGAACAATCTGCTCAACATAAAAGTAAAATCTGCTACTAATTTCATATGAGGTCCAGTATGAGAAAACTGTTATTAAATTACATACTGGTGCCACATTTATAGAAGGCAGTATGAGATGCTTTAAAGTTCTGTCTAAATGTGAAATGTTAGAGTTTATCTGAGAGAAATCTCTAAAAGTAATTAAAACATGTTGTGCAAATCTTCTCCATCGTCTTAAAAAAATGGTTTTCTGGCTGTGCCCATCAGGGTTCACCATTAAGGATGTTGTCTAAAGCACTAAGACTCTTTTGTTGGACAGCCTTCTCCAATATCCAAAGGCTTCATACTACACCAGAAGATTGGTTTGGGAAAGGGCCAAATGCCTCTCATTATGGCTTTGTATATCAGAAGAAGATAAACTAAGCCAAGTGATTTCAAATACTACCTGTGCTCTAGCAGGATTTGTGATGTATAATATCTTTCCTCCAAATGAGATACAACTTCCTTACAACATGAAATTGCTCAGGCTGCAATATCTTTCTCAGAAGAAAGATCCTGGAACAATGTGGATGGTGATGCATCCTCTCATCTCACCAGGTGGCCTATCTTTTACCACTCAAATAGGCTTTAATGTTGTCTACTACTTTGGAAGTGGATCCTAGTAGTTTTAGTGATACCAATATCTGACATCTATGCTCTATAGCATAAAAATTGTTTTAACATTCTGAAGACTTAATTTGCCTATGTTGGCAATACCAACAAGAAGGTACTTTGACAACACAACAGCTTTGAATGCCTACCAGGCTACTTCAGATGTCAACTCCTCATCTTTCAGCTCCAGATGTAGTGAGATGAAACATTTTTCCTTCTCTTTGCCTGACAAGCTGAAATGTTTATGATACAGAATAATAGACATTCTTGTCACTAAACTTAGTTGGTAACAAGATATTACATTTTCTGATCAATTCTGCTCATCTCTCAAAGAATAAACCTGAAGGAAATAACTATGTGCTGAAAAATATTTGAACATGTAAAATTATTGTAATCCTTAATGCTTTCCATTGTTTAGAATACATAAAATGGGTTGAAGAGTAATCTCAATATTTTTTTTCACATTGTTGTAAGTATCAACATGCAGATTCAAAGTATTATGTAAGATCTGTGCACTTCTATTTCTGAAACATAAATTAATTTTAAACTAGGCAACTTATGGCCTATTGGGTCATCCTTTCAGAAGTATTTCCTTACCAAAACATGGGCAGGCAAAAAAAATCAATGGGTGGGAGTGACTTCCAGCCTCCTGTTGGCTTCCTCATTCAGTTTTCTTGTAGGAAACTGGAAGTGAATGTTGGAAAACTTCCTTCCTTCCTTCCTTCCTTCCTTCCTTCCTTCCTTCCTTCCTTCCTTCCTTCCTTCCTTCCTTCCTTCCTTCCAAAAGTCCTTTAAAAAAGTAATCTAAACTAAAGTATTCACACATATTTGATTAGAACTTTTTATCCAAAAAAGCTATTAGGAATAATAGTTTTCTAAAACAAATGTTAAAGCAAATACTTTGAGCCAAATCATATATATATATTGTAGATCTCAGTGATGTCTATGAAGATATTCCTGCTGCATTTGTATGTAGAATGTCTATTTGTCTTGTACTATATTCCAGTTAAAAGGGTACAATTTATGTATTGGTGTAAGTTCCAATTAAAATGGCAAAATAATGTTCTTCCTGCATCAACTCAGGAAGTTGAGACTTCCCCAGGAGCTGTTGATAAGAGGAATTAATGAGCCTGTCATTTGTACTTCTACAGTTGTCTGGTTTGGTACAGCAACCAAACAGGCCAGGTACAGACTCCAAGAGATAGTTAAGACTGCAGAAAGAACAATTTCAACCAGCTTGCCTTCCATAGAAGACCTGCATGTTGTGCAGTTCAGAAGGAAGGCTGAGAAAACAGCAGATCCTTATCCTGGACACAACTCCTTCCCTCAGTTCAACACTATAGGGCATTGCATGCCAAAACAACTAGACATAGGCACAGTTCCTCCTCCCCCTCCCCCGTGCCCTCATTCTGCTGAACACCTCATTCTTATAGTGCTATCTAATGTCTATGTATATGTACCCATATAGTATGGTTGTAGTATTATTATTTATCCTTCTTATTATCTTCTTTACTCTTCCTTTTTGTATTATCATTATCATTATCATTATGTTGCTTTGCATGTACACTGAGTGCTTTTGTATCAGAGACAAACTACCCTTGGCCAAATAAAGTTTAATTCAACTCAATTCAATTCAAAATTTATTTCTGAATGAACATGCACAGTATCATGTCTGAGAGTACATACAAAGCAATTGAATTAAAATGTAAGAAATAATAAGTCTGAGCCAAGTAATCACATGCACTATTGAATTCATCTTCTAGGTGTCTGCCTATATAAGCAGACATTCTCTATGAAGCAGGACTATGCATGTATAAATGCCTGCATGAAGGTACTTTCTCTTTGTATGTATCAACACTTAAGAGAGCTATATTTATTCGTTTGTTTAATTAGTTTATATGCCACCCATATAACTATCAATCAGTCTTGGTGCTTTGCAACATCACGAAAACAAGAATATAAAAACATGAAAAATATTAAATTGTATGCCTCAAATAATGATACATGTAATATTAGAAAAGAGCGTTTTAATTACTTTTCATAAAACCTAACTAGGGCTGCAATTGCTCCAGGTATCTGTATCAGCTAATGGTATGCTGAAACAAAAAGAGCTTTGTCAATTCGCAAATCAAATTCAAGGAATAGTTTCCATTGGCTAGTACTTAAATATGCATCCTTGGAGAGCTTTCCCATCAAATAATTTGCTTTGGCTACTTCTTACATTATTTAATTTGCTACAGCAACTTCCAATTTCTTTCATTTAATTTTGAAACACTGACTGAAAATGAAGTAGACATTTTGCTTGTAACAAATGCTAACAAAGGCTAATATTATAAACCAGCTATTCTGGAAAACTGTTATAAAGATCTGGCCAAGAAATTTGTTGAGGTATTCTGGACACTTTCAACACAAAATAGCAAAATAGACCAGAAAAAAAAAAACACCTCTTCTACAGTTTGGAATTTCTCCAGAATGTAAATTTCAAGGCTATGCTGACACTGTTATACAGACTGTAAATAAATGTGGACATAAAATAAGTGTTTTATTAGGTAATGCAGATGTAGAAGTCATGCTATCCCGTAGTAACTATGCTACTAATTGCATTTTACTTCAAAACAATTTGAATTAGAAACATTTTGTATGCCTTCAAAAAGTTGCCAACTACTAAGTGAACCTTAGTCTTAGTCTTCAGCACTTTAATGGTAGCAAATTGCTTTTGCCTAGCCAAAATATATATGTTATCTATCCTGAGTAAAAGAATAATACTACAACAACTTGCACTCTGCTCACTCCAAGTCTGTCCAAGGGTTTCTCTCTCAACAAATCTGTTTCAGTAAGAATTGCATGCTGGAAGCGATTGGAAGAGGCGAGGTTCCTAAACTTGAGAAACAACTTTGCAGGTTAAATTAAGTAAACCATGTGTTTTTCCCAGACACTAAGTATCTCTGTTCAGAATTGAATCTCTCTGATTTCACTTATGCAGGTATTTCTATTACTACCATAGAGGGTTTTTTAAAACAATAAGAAAAAACAGCAGCTGAACGAATAATAATAATAACCTGGGTGGTAAAAAGCCCTTGGGAACTCAGTTTAATAAGATAATATTGATATGGCATCTCCTGTAATACAGCTCCTTTCCCACAAGTTCTTAGAGCTTTTTCCTAGCAACACGCAGCCTGTGATACAAAGCCTATCTTATTCCTTTGGCACAATGTTTGAATGACTCTAGGACAGTTGTAGGAGCCCTCCCTGCCTCCCCAGATTAAAATATTATTTATTCTTAATATTAAAAAGAGGCAGAATATTACATTTCCCAAAGGGAGAAATGGAGAAACATGTTCTTAAAGGCAGAAAGCACCCCCAGTCTTCCTGCGTAGGAAAACAGCTTCAAGCAGAAGAGACTGGTCATTTGGAATGCAGATTTTGTATCCATTCAGAAAGACTGAGCCAATCTATTCATAAACAAAACATCTTCAGCCACAGCTCTGGAGCTGATGGGATTAAGAATGTACACCCCCCACCCATCCAAATTCTAAGGACAGGACATGATCTTTAGGACATAATAGGATTTACCCACCACCATTAGAATAGTAAAAAGCACAAGGCTCACTATATTGCACAAGTCCCTGGAGCATCTCAATCAGAACCCTATAAAGATCCATCCACTCACTCAACC